CAGAGAATCCTCGACGTACCGTTATGGAATCCTCAAGCGATATTCACCCTGGTTGGAAGTTCCCGATGAATACTGCGAGGTGTTGTTTAATCCTGCTGCGAATTCTGCTTGGCAGTAAAGATTGGAAGACGAATGTTTGTGGTTCTACTTGTTTCATGTTCAATGTCTATTAGTTCATTGAAATGCTCTTGAATCGTTCCTTTTTTTTTTTCAGGAATCAAACCAAACCAATCACAAAAATTGCAAGTGCCCCATTTGAACAATTGAAACACTGGATATGAAACAAGTGGAATCATGAGCAGTCTCCAAAAACCATAACCATCAAGCAGAAGTGACGGCGGGATTGGAGAACACCTTGCAGTATGGATGGGGCACTTGTAATTTCCGTGACCCGTCGCGCAAATCGCGAAAATCGCGCAAATCGCAAAAATCGCGCAAATCGCGAAAATCGCGAAAATCGCGCAAATCGCGAAAATCGCGCAAAATCGCGAAGTGAATCGCGGACTCTGACACCAGCCTTAGACATCGGCCAGTGTCGAACGGTCGATGCGTATCTACTTCACACTCGAACTGCAAGACTATTAACAGGGTCGACCACTGACATATTTCTGCAATTCCAAGCATTTTTCTTTTTTTCTCACCATCAGTCAATATTCCATCAATAACTCGATCAAAAAACCATAAACACCGGCTCGTAATGTAAAAAAGGTTGGGTAAATCAAGGAAATAAGACATCGTTCCGCGTGTGCTCGCTTGATGTTATGCCAAGCTCATTGACATTTGACCGAATCGCTTCAATCGCAGAGTCTGACATCGGCCACTCGAACAACCGAAGTTTCAAAACTGCGTGACGCGAGGTCACGTGTTGCTTGGGTGTGCATTGGTCACCGCGTCGCCTTCTCTATGCGACCGCGGCTTGTGCGATCGTAACGATCGTTACGCGCACTACCGACTATAAATGCGCCCCATGACCGCGGCGCACGCGACCCGCAACAGGTTAATCTCAGATTGAATTGAGCTGAGGTCAGTTCTTGAGCGATGAAGGTTCGAACTGAAAAGTTAGATGAGCCCAACATGCGACTCATAGCTGTGAGTTATTTTTGGGCAGTCTAAAGTTTTCAACGTTTGTCGCCATACGCTTTCTCTTTCAGTTTATTTTATTGATAGTTCATGTATTTTGAGTGCAGCCATGAGTAAATTGATACTGAAGATTTAATACACTTTAAAAATTCTAACTAAAGAAATAGGAAACGGTTGAACAATTTCGCAACTTCCTCTCTTCGAACCTGGTAGTTAGGTGGACAATTTTTGCCGTTTTTCATTATGGCCGACTTATTGTTGTCTTATTCATTCATAGCTATAAAGTATTGGAGTCATTTCAGGCGTTTCCGCTCTCGCTTGCATGCCCATATTGAACGGTGAGGAGGTATTAGTTGGTGAAAATTATCTAGTGCGGGGAAGACGAGGTTGTTGGCGTCATGCCACTGTACTGGACAAGCGGCGTGGAGAAAGTGGCAGTGTAGAACTCTACGTGCATTTTGATGGAGATGACAGGAGGCTTGATCATTGGTTGGACTCAAGTAGATTGAAGGTTCGATTTTGCATTTTCAACTTTTTTCCATTTAATCTTGAACTTGCGCTGTTGCTAACACCATACTAAGGACACTGATTTTTTTCAATACGACTTTTCTCAGGTCTTTTTTTACGATTCTGCGATTCTATTGGAATTTTTGGGTCTATTCCAGTTAGGGGGCATCATGATGCAGTTTCTCGGCGAACTAGTGTGAACTCGAACATTCCAGCTTTTCACGCATGTCAAGTGACTGCCCTCACCCCCCTAGACTGGCTACACTCCCCTGGCTCGGAGTTACCCTAGCTTTCTGGAAAAACTGCATCATGATGCCCCCTGACTGGAATAGACTCGATTTTATATTAGTGTCCAATTTCTTGCTAAAACTTTCAAGGTCATTTCAAAGTCACACAATAGTGGAATACGATGTTATAAAATGATGCAAACATCTGGTCTCTTTCCTTTTTAAGAGTTGAGTGTTGTCATTTGTGTGGCTGATTGTATTTAACTTCGACAACCCAGTAGCGCTCGAATGTGCAAAACTTCCATCCTTGTGCCCACTCGGGCTGGTAGTCTGTGATAAGCTGACGGCATCACTTGACTTCCTCAAACAAAGGCAGCGATTGCGATAGTCTTAGGTGGGGTTAGGTGTAAAGAGGGTGCTCAAAGGTATGCTCAGGGAAAAAAATTGTTACCAACGAACCCCGATTCCGATATCGTGATAACGAACATAACGCTTTGATTGATAAGCCTAACCGGTGAAACTCCAGTTCGGGGGAAGGCACTCCATTGCTATCCGTAGCAATGGAATGCCCCCCCCCCCCCGAACTGGAGTTTCACCTTTACAGTTTAAAGGATACGACTGCTTGGCATGAAGTTTTTTTTTCCAAAATTAAGAGGGAACGATGCTGCTGGCGACATTTTAGGGTGGAGCGGTTCTGGGGTTTTGCGCTTTTTGGCCCCAGTCTTACTGCGGCGCTGCAAACAGCTTGCCCTTTACTGCAAAAACGCCACACATAGTTTCCTTTGCATCTGGGCCACTGTGTCCAGTCGTGCGTATATGTCGCCGTTGCGACTATTTTGTTGCGATCACTGCCTTTAAGCACAAATCGGGTCGTTCAAACTGAAAACTTTAGGTTTGTTGCAACAATCCGCAAAGGAAGAAGTAAACGCTAATTAAAAACAGACACATGTCTCCCTAAAAATACTGCCCTTTTAAAGAATTTCGCACATAGATATGTCATGGTTTATGTTGTTTTATGGTTATGAGCTAGTTTCTGATTTGTTAAGAGTGATCGAAAGAAAATTTGACTCATGAAGTACTTTTTGTATCCGAACCATCAAGCTTTCCATATTATAAATCACTTTTCTTATGAATTAGCTACGATAATACCATCATGCTCAATGACAATGATAACCTCTTAGTTTCGCAATCAAACAAATAAGCGAATCACGCCGGTCTACGAAATGAGAGAGAAACGGATGCGGAAGGCAAAGGAGAACTCTCCAAACACTACCAGCCTAGATTATTCGGAGGTTTTGGAAGAGCAGCATATAGAGGTAATTGTGATACTAATTTTATAACATTTTGGTAATAATTGGGCTTAAAAGTAAAGTACTGTTGTTCCAAATTCTCTTATGTGTTGAATTTAGGTGACGAAAGTAAAATATATTGAAGTTGTACGCTATGGTGAATTTGAAATGGATACTTGGTGAGTATCATTGGAGAATTGCGCTGTGTTTCATTCGGTTTACGAACTACGCATGAAGTTGATGACGGGGATGAAGGGCTACGTTCCGGCAAATTTATATTAGGGTGTGGTTCACTAGGACAGAAAGCGACTTTTTCGCGTTTCGCAGCGCGAAACATTTTTCGCTGCGGGAACCTCAGGTCCACTGCTGATCATCGTGGACCTGAGGTTCCCGCAGCGAAAAATGTTTCGCGCTGCGAAACGCGAAAAAGTCGCTTTCTGTCTAGTGAACCACACCCCTCGTATTATAGTTTGAAAGAAGGAAAACCGACTCTTCGTCTACCTGACGAAATATTTCACAACCCTTTGAGGCCTTCGAGTCCAGCTCATTCAATACGAAGCATACAGGCAGACGAAGTACCCTCCATTTC